ATCTGGTTCTGTGCTTGAACTATAGCAGACAGTCGGTTGACTTTACTGTTTGTATCTACCATTAACGTTCTAAACAGTAACAGTAGATAACACCTGTATAATGATTACCATGTTTCAGGCTGGGTTCTAGAAACTTCACATATATTAACTCATTTAATTCACATAACATATGGGTACTGTTTATTATATACAATAAAAAAGTTTGGTATAATTTGGTCCACATCATGAATAGGTGCTATTAGAAAAAGTTTAAGTTTTACAGATGAGTGGGTTGAGGTACAGAAAAATTAAATAATTTGTTGAAAGTTACCCAGCTTGCAGACTGAGAAGGTAGAATTTTAATTCAGTTGATTTAGTACCTGAGTGTGTGTTCTTAACTATAATATCATACTACTTCTAAACCAAGACATTCTCTATCTCCAATCATTTGAAATTATACATATACATATATTCACTTAAAGGAGACTTAATTCCTAGAACAAATCTTATATGAACATTAATATCCTTCCAAGGATGACGTCTAAGGTCAGAAAGGAGCCAAGTTTTATGAGAAGTATACTTGCATGCTGGAGGACAATAGTTTTCCTGGAATGAGGTCAAAGGAAATCATTTACAAAAGAAGATGGAAGACATGAAACAGGCTTGGGTTTTCTAAAATTGTTCTTGATAAAGAGGGGAGATGCTGTAGTTTAATTGTTTACCTGACAGAAATCCAATGAAGAGATCAACAGCTCTGTGGAATTATATGTTCAAATGGTAGCTTCTTTCCTCACTATGAAGAATAATCATGGGTGAACAAAATTTAGGCATGCATCTCCCAGGTATAATTGAATTCCAATAAATCTCAGCCCTTTTCTCCCATTAGGCCAGTTACACAATGCACCTGGAAGTATAAATATAACTAGGTTTAACCTGGGTATGGATAATGTGTTATAAGAGAAGGTGAGGAACTTAACTTACAGTCTCGTTGCCTGTAACTAACGTGGTGAGTTTGGACAAATTACTTAAATTCATGCCTCAGTGTACTCCTAAAGATGTAACCTGCTGTGACCAAACTAGGGCCTGATCTTTGATCTCAGCTCTCCTGCTCCACCTTTCAACTGTTCAGTGAGAGAACCAGAATTCTATCTTAAGCTATTTTTAGTAGCAGCCCTGTAACCAACCCAATTTCGGAAGTAATCAGACTCAAATAAATGGTTGTCCATGTTCCAGTAGTAGAACTGAAGACAGATTTATCTAAGTGATTTTTGGAGGTTGGGCTGCTTCTAAAATCGGAACAGAGTGCTGTGGCATCAGGTACTTTCGTTTTGGTAATGGAAAACAAACTCAACCTTGCTACTACTGTACAAGCACTTTTGAAAACTTTCACATAACTTCCATCGGTAACGCAGGCATTAGGCTTGGTATACAAGGTCTCTAACTTGACTTCCCTGAGGTTCTATCGACCCTATTCTCTTTCCTGTGTTAGCTTCATCTTGTGCATGATTGAAAGACAGTAGTTCAGGCATCTCATTTAAAGATGAACATGCGTGGAGGAGGCAGAGTCCATGTCTCCTGTCTTCCCTCCACTTGAGAGTGAGGAAACTGTTCCCAAAAGTGCCTCAGCTGACTCTCCTCATGTCTTATTGGCTGGAATTGTGTTAAATGCCTGTTCCTGAACCAATCACTGACGAGGATTGCCATAATTGGCTTAGATTCTGACAGTTTTTGCCAGTTTATTAGTTGCTTTCGTGAAGGGACAGAGCCCTGAAGTTCCCCACTCTGCTGTTTTTGGCGATATCACTTGATCTTTCTGATTGCCTTAGATTAATCAAGATTTACCCTTGGAGCTGGGGATGCTTAGAGCTATTTTTGGAAGAGAGAGAATCCAGATAAATTAGGCTTAGCAAGAAGGAATGGGTAACAGTGTTCACTAGAGTCGCTATGGGAGATGATTATAATAAAAGAGAGGCATTGTGGAGAAGAGGGGGTGATTATGGAGAGTCCTTGAGCAGAGCTGCAAGAGGACAAATCCATCACTGAAGAGGACAGCAGAGTCTGGAGGAGGACATACTCAGGTTCCAGATCTGCCCTATCTTCTTCTAGGTATATGAATATGGGAAAATCAGCTAATTTTGTTGTACCTCAGTCTCCTAATCATAATAAGATGGGGATAATAATTTCCCCATTTCCGAGTTGATGTAAAAGTGATATAAGAAATACAAAATGGCAAAGCCACCTCATTAGTGGTTATCATTACTATGTTCATGACATGACCGACCCTCTTGGAGCAGAGTGATTAGCAGAGCAGACTAAGTACGGAGTTACTGGTAGGTGAATGACTGTAGTTAAATCGCAATACTTAGCCTTTGTCGAGTACTTCCCATATGCTAAGGGTCATTTATTGATTCTATCAACAAACAATTACTTAGTGACTACGTGTCAGGCAATGTTCCTGGCACTGGAGGACAGCAGTAGACACAGGAGATAAACACCTCTGTCCTCAAAGAGTTTACAGCCTAGTGGGGGAAGACAGACACAAGTAGACGTATAAAGCATACGGAATATGAGATGGTGCTGAGTGCTGAGGGGAAGTATAGGTGGGGAAGGAAGACTGGAGGGCGAGAGTGGGGAGGCAGGTTTTAACGGGGTGCTCAGGGTCCTCCTGAGGAAGACGGCATGAGCCACGAAGTGCAGGAGGGGAGGGAGTAAGCAGTGGGACATTCTGGAGGAGGAGATTTCCAGGCAGGGGAACAGCAAGTGCAAAAGTTCTGACGCTGGAGCTTGCCTGGAAAGGTCATAGAAGAGCCACGAGGACAGTGTGGTTGGAAAACAGACAGCAAAACAAAGATCAGGAGGAGATGAGGTCAGCGTGGTGTCAGGTGAGATGGGGTGGGGGCATTTGTGAGCTTTGAAGGTGATGTCAAGGACTTCGGATTTCATTCAGAATAATTTGGATAGTTGTGAAGGGTTTTCAGCCCAGGAGCGGCGTTCATTACTTTTCCTTCACTGCTCTTCTGATTTTCTGCTATTTGCATTCCGTTTATTTTTTAATTTTTTTAAGTTAAAATATTTCTTCTGTCAGTCTCCACTCAGTTCCTAGCTTTTCAATGAATCACTATGTAAATTAATAATTCCTGCACCCATCGCAGCTGTGTGCTCCAGATTCCTGGACATTCTTCGGCTGCCCTGAAACTACTGAGGAGTGGCTGGCAGGATATTAACGAGTCTCATTTCATGGAGCAAGTGTGTGGACATAACCATAACCTTTGCCTGCTTCTGCCTGAGGGGACCCTTAACGTCTCCCCAAGGAGGTTAGACTGTCCTTGGTTTCTAGAAATCCTTAGAAGACTGGTGCTTGTTAAAAGCTACCTCCTGGCCCTTGAGCTGCCTGGCTAGAGCTCGTGTTGGGGGTTGGTGGGAGTACCCTCTCCCGCTCTTCTCCGTGGAATTTGGGATGGATTCCCCATGGGCTGCTGCCTGACTGATGGCTCTACAGTCTGCTGTGAACTAAGAATGAAGTCAAGCCTGGGGCCTCCTTCTGAAATCAATTTGTCCTCATCCCATTGGACCTTGATAACTGCCTGCATGTCATCTAAATTTGAGATGCAATATCACTTGGTTATTATTCTCACCACCACTTTTAGACATATATTGGCATCTCTTATTCTATCTCCTATGTGTCCCAGCTGTTCTTTCAAAATTTTTATCCTTGTCCTTTTGTGAGAAATTCCTCAGCACTATATTTCTATTCATTAATTCCTTTTTTTGTCAAATCCTGAGTTCAACTAGCTTTTTTTTATTTAAAAATTTTTTATGTGCAGGTGCACACTCTTATTTTATTTTCCTATTTTTCTGTGATAATTTATAATTCTTTTTAAACGAAATACGTTTTACAATTCTTAGGTGGAATATTTTTTGACTACTGGTCCCCTGCAGGAGATTCTTTTTCCCATTGTGGGTTTTGTTGGTTGCCTTTCTTACCAGGAGATTTCTTCCTATGGTATGCGGGATCCTTTTCTGAGTGGGATGATTTTATCTTCTTTCTTTTCTCTTCTGTGCTCACTTCCTCCTTGTCTCGTGGTTTTCTCCGTTGTCTCCACCCAGCTCACTGGGCCTCCAGTCTAGAATCAGGTGTGTTGATGAGTTGGGGGCTCCCGCGTTGTTCAGATGGTTGATATAGCGCACATCCAGTCTGGGAGCCCATTCTTGAGCTCGGGATTATGCTTTGTCAATCAGCTTCATTGAGCCCACTGTTTCTAAGGTCAGGGGCCCTGGATGAAAGCAGTTTATCAGCCTCCTCCTGTGAGCAATGAGCAGGGGAGGATGGGCAGAGAGGAGTACTTCCGTACCAGCACCTGATCTTATCTCACGTCTGCTGTAGAATTTTACATCCTACTTACTTGAAGTCACTGGAATCTCAACCCCCTCCTGTTTCCAGACTGTAGACCCTGCAGATTCTGGGCTTTAGCCATATTTTCTGCTTTGCATTTCTGTTCCAATTCTCGTTCATAATGATGTATATTTTACTTTGAAGCTCAGTTATATATTCTGGATTTTCTCTTTTTAGATTTTTCAATTATATTTTGGAGGAAGTAGGGTGTGATAAAGTATGAAGTTAATTCACCATCTTGACTGAAGTTTTCAAGTAGGTTTTTAGGTAGAAATTTAGAATGCTATTTGAATCGCTAAGTTTTATAACTAGTCAAATCATGACTTTCTTAGCCTGGATGTCTTAGTCTGCTTGAGCTTGCCATAAGAAAATACCGTAGACTGGGTGGCTTAAACAACGGACATTTATTTCTCACAATTCTAGGTTCTGGGAAGTCCAAGATCAAGGTGCTACAGATTTGGTTCTTGGTGAGAGTCCTCTTCATGGCTTGCAGATGTCCACCATCTGGCTGTGTGCTCACATGACCTCTTCTTTGTGCTAGCACGGAGTGAGAGAGAGAGCTCTGGTGTCTCTTCCTCTTCGTGCAAGGGCGCTAATCCCATCATGAGGGCACCACCTTCATGAGCTCATCTAAACCTAATTACCTCCCAAAGGGGTTAGGGCTTCAACATAGAAATTTTTGGGGGACACAAACATCCAGTCTATAACACTGGACAATTACTACGTTGTTGGTTCTCAGTTTGCTTCAGAACCATAGTTCATGCAGTTTCAATAGATATATTGATAACAAAGAGTGCTTCACTCAAATGAGTTTGGGAAACTCTGGATTAAACAAAATCAGCAAATTTTTCCAGTGAAGTTCTTTTCAGAGCCTCAAACATGTGCATGTACATTGTGAATTATCTATAGAGAGATTAAATGTACATAATCTCCCAAACTCATTTCCCTATGGCATCTTTTTCATGCTATGCTTGCTAATATGTCCCAGAAGATTATTTCATGGAATGTAGTGTAGAAAATGCTAATATTGACCGGACAAAAATGTGTGTGTATATATATTTACATATATATGAATATGAATTTGCATATGAATTTACATATATGTGTGAATTTACATGTATATTCTGAGTACCTAGAAAAAGAAAATGTTTTATATATGTGTGTGTGATATATTATTCTATCATATATGTCACTAACATTAACAAATAGCATAATATTAGAAATGAAAAATTCATTGCAACTGTTTTGTTTTTAATCAGTGCAAGGTAGGATGCAGGTATTGTGGAGCAACAGAACATCAGAGTGGAAGAGTATTTTGATATAGAATTGAATGCTTTCCAAAGTTTTAAAGCTTTTCTCAAACTAAATTTTATATGGAAATTCTCTTGCTCTCTCCATATATGTATACGTATATATACATATATACATATGTATACATGTATATAACAGAGTTGCAGTGTTTGAAGTAGAGTTGGGAAAATGGAGGCCTCACCCTTCCTTCCCAAGATGAACCCTGAGGGCTTCTCTGAAGGAGCCTCTGAGCTTCACAGGGCCTGGCTTGAATTCCACCATCTGATGCCTCAATTCAACAGCAGGGGAATCAGGCTCTAAAAAGTTGAAGTGATTTCTCAATGTCTGCTGGCCAGTAGGGACAGAATAGGGCTAGAATTAAGATACCCTAACTCTTAGTTTGGGGCTCATTTCCTCACAGCACTGGTTTTCCTTCTTTTTTAAATCTTCAAATCATTTTTTCAAATGAAACATCATGCAGAAATTCAACCTGCGAAACAGAAGTAAAAGCCCAGCTCCTCTGGTTGAAGGAGGAAGGGTGTGTCAGGTGTCAGGCGGGAGGGCTGAGGGACCTGTGGCCTTGTGTGCCACCTGCCAGTCTTCCCACGTTGGTCCTATTTAAAAATGATAAACAAAACTAGGCAGAAACAATGCACCCAGTCCTTCAAACCAGGGAGGACACCATTAATACCCGTTGGATCTTACCCCTTCCAAGAGATTGTGACTCATAGCTAAAAGAGAAATTAAAATTTCTTTATTTAGCAAAGGGATTGTTTTTTGTCAAAGATCCAAATGACAAAGTTTGTTTTTTAATTTAAAGGAAGAGACTAAAGAGTTTCCCCAAACCTTACCAAATGAGCTGGCATCAGAGCTGCCCACATCAGAAACACAAAGAATCCAGTCCCTGGGCCCCAGGGCACAAGCTTCTAGAACTTTGGCCATTATGTGAGTGATTCATTTTGGTGAATCAGGCCCTTTCTATGATTTCAATTAATGACAACAAGCCCCAGGAGAAACAACAGCATTGTTCAGAGCAGTTAGTCTCTCATCTGGGTGCACAATAGTATGAGAGAAAACATATGTGAATATTCCTCATTAATAGCAAAATCATGCCCTTGTCCTTATCAAGTGCTGCCAAATTATTCACACAAAGTTGAAATGAGTCACAGATAACATTCTGTGGGTTTCTTTTCTGCCTTTTTCTCTTCCTGTTTAGAGAGTGAAGATGGGCTTAGAAATCTAATTACTCTGTATTGACCAAAGTGAGATGAGAGAGGTAATCCAGAGCAAGGACTTTTTTCTACAAAATCACTCCCAGGTAGGCAATGGGGCTCTAACTCCTGCTGGAGGATGGGTCCTGCCCTGGGGTATGAGGGGTTTCATGTCTCTTTCTTTTTTCTTTGCTGAGGAAGATTCATCCTGAGCTAACATCTGTGCCAATCTTCCTCTACTTTACATGTGGGACACTGCCGCAGAATGGCTGGTGTGTGGAGTAGGTCCATGCCTGGGATCCAAACTTTGGCCACCAAAGTGGAATGTGTGGAACTTTAACCACTTGGCCACAGGGCCAGGCCCCTTATGTCTATTTTTAAGAATCTTCGCTCCTCAGAAAAAGGCACAGAAACTTATATCTGAGAATTCTTCATGTGAGAATACCAAACAGTAAACACCAAGCTTTGGCTAGTAGATGCTACTGTTTATCAATCGATCTATCTTTAGCTCTATCTATCTATCAATCATCTACCTATGTATCCATGTGTCTATCTATCCATCTAGATCCATCTAAGAACAATTAAATACTTTTTTTTCCTATTAGAGTCTCTGCAGTATTTTGTTTTACTTTCGCTTTTATCTAGGATCTCATTTTTAGTTAGAAGACCTGCATCTAAACCTGTTTCACTTCTAGTTTAATTGTCTACTCACTGATACTATGGAATGTATCATACTATGATATACTATGACATACTATGATACTTTTGGATACTATTCAAAAAATGGTCCTTACTAGACTCTATTCTCCACTCTTTCCACTGTTTAGAAGTTGAGGGCAAATAGATATGGTGTTCATTGATTTGATTGATTACTTATTTTGAAAAATATTTTGGGCACATACTATGTGTCAGACATCATACTAGGATCTGGGGAAGAGAAATGAACAAGAGAGACAGTCCCTACTTTCAATGAGCTTTGAGTCTAGATATAATCACATATTCTATTAATCCACATTTATTAAGTATATATAGCTTTAATCCCTTTAGAGTTTTGAAGCAAGAACATTTTGCTCCAAAAGTACTTGAAGCCTTCAAGGTACAAGACATACAGATGGAATTAATTGCAATAGCTGCATCAGGAGTTGAGTAATGGTGCCTATTGAGAAGATCAGTTACAGCAGGAGACTATGTCATTCAAAGGGAGGGTGATGAGGATAAAGAACAACACCCAATAATCGGAAATTCACTTGCATTCATCTTTTGAATGCATAAGACAAAGGCAGCAGCTTGTTCTCATTAGAGACATATGCCTTGATTCACTGATTCTTTTGATTAGGCTATATGTGTTCATTCTGGAAGTCCATATTGAGTACCCAGGAAATCTGTATAAAATTCAGAAGATGAAATTTAATTTAATTTTTTGAAGGAGCACAGTCGTAGAACTCTGTCACTTTCTCATCGCATGAGTTAATTATAGGGCTACATGTTAGACCCACAGTCTTGGTGCCAGGCCCTTTGTCCTTCCTAAGTGAAAATTCTTTGCTCGTAGCTCATAGGGCAGGTCTAGGAGTATCGTATGACCCCCAAAGGCTTCCCTAACCAAATCCACAGACAGGTCAATGGCCTATTATGTGGCCTGGTGCAAAAAGACGTATAGGCCAATCAGGCTTTTTCTTGTTTGGACCAAATTAGGAATTGCAGAGGGAATTGGGAGGCATATCAGAGGACGTATAGAGAGAATTAAGATGTGTGGTTGAGGTCATAAGTAGCATCAAGCTGGAGTTAGAGGAAAGCAGAAAGTATTAAAAGAGAACTACGTAAGAAAAAGTATGAAGGTAAAAAGAAAGAACCAAAAAACTGATAATGAAGAGAAGAGAGCAAGGAGAGATGTTAGTGACATATCACTCCAGGGTAGCCATAAAGTGTAGAAACAGATAATATTATTTCATCGTGCATTGTAACACAATACCAGTAAACCATTTATTATGTGTTTGGCCGTATTTACAGACTTGTGTCTAGGTTTTCAGTGGAGATTCTGTAGCCTGGCTCTACTGTGGATCCCACTCTAGTTATTCGACTTTTCCTGGATTCCTTTGCAATTGTATTCATACAGTACACCTCCTCGCCACCCCAATGTTACTTGATTACTTGGGATCACTAGATGAGTCTCCTTTTCCTTGCAACTGGAAGATACTGACTGATCCAGACTGAGGGTGGAGCACATTTTTTAACATGGGTTTATATACTTTGAGTTTTCTTTGTTCTTACCCTTCTAGGGATCTGTGAAATATTTTGGCTTCTGGAATTTGCAAAACTTAGGTTTTCTTAATGCTGTGCATCGATTAGTGCTTTTTTCCCATGTAAATATTTCTACCACTTTATAAACTGCAGTGTTTGATTTAAACCATTGATTTGTATATGCAGCACAGAAAATAAACCATCCAGTTTACTTCTATCTAATAATAACTCTAATATCATGCTTGCCAAAACCTCCATTAAAGGCATATGCTTTGACTCATTGATTCCAATAATAGGGAAAATCGCTATTTCCCAGCAGCTGCAGATTCAATGTTGCTTTTGAGGAGGAAATAAAAGGATCCCAGCAAAATGTTTATATAGCTTGAGAACTCTAGGAGGCCCTCAGTAGCAGGCAGGCTTCTAGGATCCCCGGTAGAACAGGAATCAGGAGCTCTAAAGGGGGTGTAAGTTGGCTTATAGTGAGAACATGGTACAGATGGATGCAATCAGTAACGTAAAATAAAAGTCAAACTAAGTAACAAAGTTGGGGAGCAGGGGCATGAAGAAGAGAAGCAAAAACAAAACAAATCTCAGATTAAGAATAGTATAAATAATTAACTCTAAACTTTATACTCAGATTTTCTGTAGCCCAGGCAAGAGGAAAACAGCAAATGGTGTAGTTCTCATTGTCTGACAATAGGATAGACCATCTATTAGCTGATGAAAAGAAACAGCGTTTTCCTGTCCCTTCGATATGAGGTGAATGTATCGTGATGTCCTTATACAGACAGCACTGAACAAAACCATGAATCTAAAGCTGCAGGCCGGACATCAAGTCTGTAAAGATATTAAAACACAAAATTATGCACCAAAGAGCTTTTTTTTTTTTTTTTTACTAAAAATTCATATGGATTCCACATCCAGTGTTTTTTTTTTACATTGGCTTTGGCGAAGAAAGTCAAACTCTTTACTAAACGGTAATTCTGTAAAGACAAATTTATGGAGATAGGGTAGAGAAGGGGTGATATGTTCAAGATGCATTACTCTTATGTGGTTCCTTTGGGTACAGGATGAGACTTATTTTCCTCTAATATAAATGAATAAGAATAAAAGGCTCAATTGAAATATAGAGGACTAAAAAAGTGCTCTAGGCTTCTGACTGAGAGATCAACAGGATTTGGTGGGTATGCATAATAAAGGAGAGTATGAAATTAAAGATTCAAGGATCTTGTGAAACACATTGCCCTCTTCTGGCCCCCTTTCGACCTGTTTTCTTTCTTCTTCTTCTCCTCCCTATCAAAGCTCTGTCTCATTGGGGCTAGTTTTATCAGGTGCTTGTCAATTACAAAATTAATAACAAATTGGGAATAATCATCATCTTTTCCAAAACCTGCTTGTCTTCCTGTATTCCCTCCCTCAAGTCAGAAATGTCTCATTTTTCCTTTCTCTTTCTAATCACACACAGACCATCAGATATCAACTCCTTCATTCTGCCGCATTAATAATTTTCAAGTCTGTCTCCTCATTCTCTCTCTTTGCCACTGTACTAGTTCATGACTTTATTATTTCTCAGCTGGATTATTGCAAGTCTTCTAAATTGCCTCCAGTTAAATTTCCATGTGGTTCTAGAGTGATCTTTCTAAAATGCCAATTTCGTCCTAGGCTTATAACCCTTCAACGCTTCTCTCAAGTCTTAAACATGAAGCATGGCAGATAATGCCTTAAATGACTTAGGCCTTGACTATACCCCCAGATATATTTTGACATTCTCATATAAACTTCTGTTATCTATTCCTACTAAACCATCTGCAGCTCCCTTGAAAATGTCATAATGTGATTTGCCTCCTTGCCCTTTCGCTTATCTCTAACTTCAGCTGGAACAGTTTTCTCCATTGTCATCTAGTTTTGCCTACTCATCCTTATGTTTCACAACTAAGCTCAGGCAATACATTCTTACACTCCCCATGTTGGATTAGTCTCCCCAGCCTGGGATTTTGGGAGCCAACCACTGTATGCATGGTGTAGACTATTCTAGTGGAGTGAAGAGAATAGAGTGTCATTGGGTCTAGAGAACCCTCTTAAGCCTTTTTCAGTCGCTGCCTGTCATGGGCACTGTCCTGAGAGCTAGGTACCATCACAGGGTAGGAATGGGCTTCTTGTGTTGAAAAACAGTTGCTTCTCAACATCTATGCACGTCCTAGAGGAAGACCAGGGGATTATTAACGAGCTCCTCAAAGACCACACAAGCTGCCTGGCTGAGGATTGTCCAGCACCTTCAACTGGACAAACCCAATCTTGACAAGGTCATGTAATAAAATGCATCAAGCAGGAGAGGCCGAATGGCTATGTGGTCTCCTAGACACTAGGTGACCCCGAGTGGGCCTGGCACTAAGGGTACACCTGTGAAGGAGCCAGGCCTACTCAGGAACTTGGTCTCCTAATTCAAACAGAACACAGTTACAGGGGTTGTCAGCCTGCCAGTGGGTGTGTCCAATGGGGGAGAAAACACAGGCATGCTCTATGCATTCCCGCCCTGTGGCTGCTCATAGCAGTACCTCCAGTCAGCACTAGGGACACTGGGCAAGAAGGACATATAGTGATAGCTACAGTCAGAGACACTGCTTCACCCAAAACTCTTTTCTAACTCCATGTTTTTTTGTGTCACAAAAGCATTTATTTAAAAATCTCATCCCCTCCTTACCCTACACCTCAGTTTTAATTCTCTGCTGGTATTTTTTAGTTAATTTTATTTTTTTATTTTATTTTATTATTTTAGAGGTCCTGTCCACCACTCAAACTAAGTTTTTAGGTTTTGCTTTGCTTTTATAATCATGAGAAGGGACTCCTGTTATGTTGATTTCTAGTGCAC